GAGCCAAGCTATTTCGGATGTGGGTGCCAATCCTGCTTCCAACTTGTTTTAATCCGGGAGCTCCACCAAACACTGTCCACCATGGGTAACCATTTATCGCATCTGAAACATCAGTGTCACAGTGTTTAGCATCACAGCCACTGAGTTACCTCTGTAGAGCAAATGGACAGATCAGTGCTATATAACTTAGAAGAATGTTTGACCATATTTCTTTTCCAACTTGAGGCCGAATACAATCAACTCACACCCAATGGTGAGCAATTATTCCACTCCAATCCTCACCAGAACCAGAAAACAAACCTCTATAGAATCCGGCTGTTCCAGACAAATTCCCAATCTGGATTCCAGCCCCACAGTGGTGACTAAATGCTTTTTTAGATGTTGTGTTCAATGCCATTGAGTAGAGCACAGTTCATAGCGACCCTATGAACAAAAGGCAAGAAGCCTTTCTATACCTATCATTGTTTCTCCCACTTCAAAGAGTTTCCAGTGGCATGTGGTTTAGGAAGTGGAGCCACTCTTGCTTCCAAACCTGTCTTAAACTGGAAGCTCCACCAAACACTGTCCACCTAGGGTAGCCATTATGGCAATTGTCCCCCAATGGCACAAGCTTCAGCATCACAGCAAATCCAGATTACTCCAAAGCAGCAAACTGAGAGAGGAGTGCTGCAAAATTTTTAAGAATGTTCTTCCAAAAATAACATTAGACCCTCAGGCCCAACTGATATTTAAATACATAGGCACAACATCCATCCATCCATCCATCTATCTATCTATCTATCTATCTATCTATCTATCTATCTATCTATCTATCTATCTATCTATCAGCAAAAGGCCTGAAGCCTTTCTATTAACTATCACCGTTTCTCCAGGTTCATAGAGCTTCCACAGGGATGTGGTTTAGGAAGTGGATGCCACTCCTGCTTCCAAACCTTAATCAATCTGGGAGCTTCACCAAACACTTCACATGATGGGTAGCCATTATGGTGTATGGCACACCTATGGCACAAATATTCCATTACGGCAGCTGAGACTCCAATGGCAAATGGGTCAGTGTCACAGCAAACCCAGATTACTTCAGCATGGCAAATAGACCAGAGTACTGTATTCCTTAGAAGAGCTACATATTTATTTCTCATTAAGAGCCAAAAAATAGTTACAAAGGATTAAAATATAATCCCTCAGGCCCAACTTTTAAACATAAGGGCCAAAAAAAACCCAAAAACAAACAAACAAAAAAACAAAAAAAAACATAAGGGCCCTCCAGGAGGTTTTGTTGACTCTAAATAAGAGGTTTAAACAAAAACAGCAACACAATCCACAGAGATCCTCAACCAAAACAAGAGTATCAACGTACAGAGTCCACCACTTCACCTAACTCCAAAATGGAGATGGGGGCCAGGCTTTACATGTTGCTGTTGTTGTTAAGCGTCATAGAGTGGTGATCCTATAAACAAAAGACCCTAATCCTATTCTATAAAAATTGTCCATTCTCAGCAAGTTCTAGTCGCCTACTGGCAAGAGGCAGCATTGCAATCCCACAGGTGAGTGGTTCAAATCCACCAGAAGCTCTGCTGGAGAAGGAGGGACAATCTCCTCCTGTACCAGTCAGATCCAATTTGACAGTACACACACACACACAAAATAATAAAAATTTTTTAAAAATTGTCCTCTTTCTAAGTTTATAGTTTCCACGGGCATATTTAGGAAGTGGATGCCACTCCTGCTTCTAAGCTTGTTTTAATCTGTGAGCTCTACCAGACACTGTCAACCATGCTTAACCATTATGACAACTGATGCACCACTGGCATGCTATTTAGTATCACAGGAATCCTAAGTTACCTAAATACAGCTAAATGACAGAAAAGTGCTGTACCATACAGATAATGTTCATTTCAAATACAATTAAATCTGATATGTTATTACCGAATACTTTTTCCCAGTCAGTGGCTTCCCTTTTTACCCTATTGGAGAAGTTTTTGGATGTGCATAGGGATTTGAGTCTTAGAAGATCCCATTCATCTATGTTATTTTCTCCTGGTTGTAGTTTTCCAGGATA